TGTATTTAGAAACTTCATGTACACTTTTTTGCTGGCTGACTGATGGCTCAAATGAGTGAATCCTAAGGGCTAGATCCAATAAAAGACTTAGTTTCCTAGAAGTTAATCACAGGAACACCTGACTTGTACATGCCTGACATTGAAGTGGAATCCAGAACCCTGTGTTAGGTACCTAGGATCCCTTATTCAGGGCATGGGTAAAATGAATCACCTCAAAATGATAGCCAGAACAGCCAATATGTTGAGTAGGAAGCTGCTTCAGGTCAGCATGCTTGGAGCACAGCTGCTTAGTTAGTTAGTAGGAAACACTGGAAACAGGGAGATATCTGAAATCTTGCCCTCTGTTGGTGCTTCGGGTAGGGGTGCAAGGAGGTTCCTCCATCCACTTGGGATCCAGGATCCACAGCTTGGGACCTTCTCCTAACAGTAGGCACCTTATGGCCTTTCTTTTGAAGACCACAGAATCATAGAAGTAGGGTCAGAAGGGACCTTGTAGATCTTCAAGTCCGACCCCCCGCCTGGGCGGGAGAAAAACTGGACTCAGATGAGTCCAGCCAGGTAGGCATTAAGCCTCTTCTTAAAGACCCCCAGGGTAGGAGCCAGCACCACTTCCCTCAGAAGTTGGTTCCATCTCCTAGCTGCCCTGACTGTGAAGTAGTTCTTGTGGATGTCTAATCTAAACCTACCCTCCAATAATTTGTGTCCATTATTCCTTGTTATGCTAGGGGGCGCTAGGGGAAAGTGTCTCCCCCAAACCCTTCTGGTCCCCCCAGTGAGTTTATAGACCGTCACCAGGTCCCCCCTCAGCCTTCTATTGTGAAGGCTGAACAGGTTTAGGTCCAGCAGTCTTTCATTGTAGGGTCTGACCAGAAGGGGCTTGCTCCTTTCTTGTGAGCTTCAAAGGCAAAAGTGAAGGTGCTGCTGGAATAGGGGGCAGAAGAGTACTTTTCCCCCCAGAATTGCACCTTTAGACTCTTGCATCTAAATCCTACCTCAGTCCTTTTTTGATTTGGGCCCAAAAAGGAAGTGGACAGAACAAGTATATGTGAAGGAGATTCATCATACCATTCATAGTGGCATGCATCTCCCACCATGTTCCCAGAGCAGCAATGAAGCATACCAAAGTGGGGTTTTGGCTGCTGACCAGCTGGACACAACAGGAAAAGAAAGAAAGAGTTACCAAATTTTTGTTTTAATTGATTAACTGACTACATATTGGCCAATGTTGCTGGAAGTAGGAGGTGCAGGAGATGAAGATGCCTGGGCCTGTGTGGGAACAGGATTTCTCTCTCAGATTTGTCTACAGCTTTCCTAGACTCGCAGTCTTCCTATTATGACCACATCATATATTTTCTAATTAATCCACTAGGTTAATTTCTAGTAGGATTGAGAAATGAGTGACCATTTACTTATGCTGGGGAAATGGTGGAGATCAATTGCCCAGTACCCTGTGTTAGAAAATCCCATCCTTTACCCATAACTTGTTTTTTGTTGCAAAGCTGCCCATCTAACTTGATTGCAAATATTTAAAGAAAGCACTGGCACCTTAGTGGTGCAAAGAAGCAGTGACCAAGCTGGTTTTCTAGGAGCTCTTCAGTTAAATTGTTTCTATTTTTATTTACTTCCTGTTAATTCCCATTTCATTAGGAGGCTGATGGCAATGGGCTGGGGAAGCTGTAGGTTCATTTTGCCCTTTAAAGACTTCTTTCTCCATCACAGCATAGTTCTGGCTAAACCCAGTTTGCCTTGCTTATTGTATAGATCCCGCTTGCCCTGACTCTGTAAAGCTATACTATGCTTTTTTTTAAAAGAAGCAAACTGAACCACACAATGAGAATACTGAACATATTCCCTCTCCTAAAGGGTTTCCATTGTCTCAGACCACCCACGTTACAGTGAACCTCTTTAAAATTTTGCCATTAAAACAAAGTGAATAAAAACTATTAGTAGGAGGAAGGCACCAGCTCAAACCCAGCAGGCACTCTGATTAGATCTCTGACATCTCTGCTTTCCAGCAAGAAACAATGAGAAGAATTTTGTGGACTAGAAGTAACTTTCCCTTCATTAAGCCAATCAAGGCACATTTATGTGACATGGGAATTACATTCTACTCTTCCAGGCTTTATGACTCAGCAACTATCCCTTTTGTTCTTAAGTGCAACATTGAAGGCTCTTCCCGCATGAATATATAAAGGGAAAGCATTCCTTGGAATCAAAATTTGCCTCTCTATTACTGAAAACGAGTCGTCAAAATGGTGTGGTGATTTGAGATTTTTGCTGAATCTCTGGATATTCTGTGTGTCATGCTACAAAGACAGATGTTAGTATTTAGCAGAATCCAAAAATAGTTTTAAATAAGTATTTCTGAAAGATTTTTAATTGTATTGAGCAGTGCACTCATCACTAATGTTTCAAAGCTGCATTACTCAGCTGTCACCTTATGGAAGCAGTGGGTAGATAAAATGTTAGATAATTACAAATGTTGATACTTCTGCTCAGAATTTTTTCTTCTTTTGTTGCTATAGGCGGCCAACAAAATGTTGTTAAATGCAAAGCTCTCTCATGCTCTCTTTAATTTAGGAACTGGCCATAAGCAGAAAGTATGTGTTTTAGGTCTTTGGGGAATCAAAATGGGATTAAGTTTGGGGAATGCAGTGAATCTATTTACAAGAAATGTTAACCTGGACTGTAACTCATCTGGCTAGTGTCATTACTAGTTACAGTTCACAAAATGAATCCTCCTTCCTTGCCTTATGTTTTCTGGTATGTAGATGCTGACCGATCATCTGACAAATTCCACTTCTTTTTCTATTTGTGGACTAAAATAATTGGTACCTTTTCCATTCTTTCAAAAATGCAAGTTAAAAAAAATAGTATTTAATAAGAAACATGGTTAGTTAAAATGCTTTCGCCTCCCAATCTGTTTTGTTTTGCGTTTTGTACAACTTTATTTTTTAATTTGATTGATAAAGGAAATGTGTTTGCATCTTGCAGGTTTAAAATATTTCCCACTGTCCTTTATTGCATCCCAACACTTGAAACTATCCTGCTCAGTAACAATCAGGTTGGATCTATAGATCCATTCCAGCTGAAGAAGATGGACAAGCTTGGCACCTTAGACCTTCAGAACAATGACCTCCTACAAGTGCCACCAGAACTTGGAAACTGTGAAACTCTGAGGTGACTTTGTTTTGAATTTTGTAAAGTAGCTCATTTTATTTAGAGAATATTCTTCTTGAGACTCTATTTGCATACTTTTTTGCTCAGGGAAAAATGTAGAATCACAAATGTATTTGTTTTCAGATTTAAGACCCAAAAATGGCTGACTTCTAGCAATCCCATATGAAGCAACTGTAATCTCTGTCGTAGTTTCTTAGGACTATTTGAGAAGAGAGGAAGGTTTTGTTTCATTAATTCACTTTTTAATTCTTTTCTTCCAAACCAGAATGATGTATACTTATGGTAAGGCCAAATCACCTTACAGAGGTATGACTGAGCATGTCGTTAAGCATTGAGTCACTCTTGTAGCTAGTGCAACTTCAATGTGTGAATTTACTAAGTTGGTCTGCTTTCAACTTGCGTGAACCCTGCTTTTTACAGGCTTTGTCTCATTACATTGGATAGTCCTTAGGCATACATATATTGCCTCTTTTTGACGTTTGTTTTACGGATGTCTGTCACAATTAAATGGTTGACAATGAACTGTCCCAAGATGTTTGTACTAGAGCTGCTATTTAACATATTAATCAATGATCAGGAAAAGAGAGAGAGCAGTAGTACATGAATATGAGGAGGAAACAGTAATATTCAATGTGAGTAAAGAATGGAAAAGCTGATGAAGTTAGAGGGACCTAATAAATCTAGGTGAATGGTGACACAATGGCAGATGGAATGTAGCACTGACACCTGCAAGGTAATCCAGGGTGGAAAGAATAATTTGACTTTTCATCCACAGTGCTGAGTTTTAAATTAACTTTAGGTACTTGGTGTGGAGGGAGGAGACTAAGGTCATCAATGGATTGAAAAATTATATTGTCATCAGTTTTAGCATAATAATACATGTTTTTAATGTCATTTTTCCACTATACACATTTAGCTTACATGCTCAAGTAGATTATTCCGTTCAGTTCTGCTTGCGTCTCAAAGGCTATACTTAAAAACCAAGGATTAAAGAATGTTTTTGTGGGGTTTTTATGGTTTTGCAAATCATAAGAGGCTGAGCAAAACTGCTCGACAAAGGGGAAACTGGAAGATGGTTTGGTTTGATTTAAAGAACAGACAAGGCAAATAACACATGAAATAGTTACTACAAAGACTGAGAACCTCTTTACCCTTTTCAACACAAAAGATGGGGGGGTACTTTCAGGGAAACTGAAAGGTAACCAATTCACAGCTGATAATACAGCTTATAATCTGTGTGTGAAGCAGGTGACATCAATCTTTTGCACTGGGGCAAGGAGTTTAACTGGATTCAAGAAAGAGTTGTTATGATATTGCTAAAGAAGATCAAACATATGAGGATATAAACATTCAATCTTCAGGCTGTAACCAATTCACTAAATTATAGGGTTTGATGTGGCAGGTCACTTCATTGCCTGTGATACTGTTCCTTGGGTGTTCTGATGTACACGGTAGTGACTGCTGTCAACTGCAAACTACTACACATAGTAAATCCCTGATTCCATTGGGGATGGCAAGCCCTCTTGTCTTTACTGCCTTCTGCAAAAACTGTTTTGATGTCATGAAGGGATACTGGGTGGTATCTTCCTTTGTTTCAAATAGTCTTGTGGTTAGAACCTCTGCTCAGCAAATAGGAAACTCTTAATTCCATCCTTTGATGGAGTTCAAACCCATATTCCCCTGTACTAGTAGAGTGTCTTAACTGCCAGGCTATAGGCCAGGGGTTGGCAACATTCTTGGGCAGAGTGCCAAAAACACCCACAACTTCCAACTTGTAAGATGTTGGTGTGCCAGGGGTGGATGACAGTGGAGTACAAGGGGCCCAATCCTTGCTGTTGCTGTGTAGCCCTGGCCCCTTCCCTGCCATCCATCCAGAGCCACGCATGCCAAACAAAATGCCTTCGAGTGCCACAGTCTGCACCCATGCTGGGGGCTGCCTACCCCTGCTATAGGCTATTCCAGAGAATAAGTACAAGAGGGTACCACAGAAGTTAGGCACATCCTAGAGTTTGATATTCTGGGATTCTGATCCTTGTCTTTATTTTTCATCCAATGACTTAATATAAAATGCAGAGCCACTGCTGGAATTTGGGGTCTAATCCAGAGCCATCTATAGTTTGGGAGGTAGAAGGAGGAGAAAATTGACCACAGAATTTTCACTTCCTGGGCAATGCTCTGACCACTTGGCTATTACAAAAAGGAGGCACTGCATCACCACTTCCTTTTGTATTTTTTCCAAAGCACTGGTTGTAACTATATTGTGTAGGAAGCCTGATACACCCATTGTGTTAGATATGTTCTAAGAATACCTACCAGAATACCCAAAGGGATTTAGATGGAGGCCTAGCCTCAAGTTCTGTAGCTTGCTGAATTCAGTAGGCTCTGGGTCAAGGGGTAGGTTAAACATATAATCTGGAAACGGGGATGACTAAAGTTTCTAACTTATGAGGGAACTGACAGGGCCAGAACCTTGTGCTTACATAAAAGCATGTGTACAGCATGTACATTGCATAAAGTAGGGAGGCTGAACATAACCTATTGGTATTGTATTGCAACCTGTTGGTTCTCCCAGTTTTTTTTTTAAAGTCCTTTTCCTAACATCAGGGGCTG